GCTTTCCTTTCTGAACTTTTGGATTTAATTCATCTAATCCCACAAATGGAGGAGAGCTCTGCTTATAATGAGAGCTTTACTTAAGACAGCTGTGAAATGTACAGTTCTCCAGTGCCCTCTACAGATCCAGGAACTCAAGAAGAGTGCTTCCCACTCACTACCCGACTATTTAAGGGCCTCAAAAAAATAAACCTCTGGGTAGAGATAGAAATCAGAGATTCTCCAGGCAGGTGGCAGGGCTGGAATATCAGGAGAGAACAGCAGAGTGGCATGTGTTATTTCAGAACATGTTCAACATTGATTTGAAAAGAAAAAAAATACTGCTTTCATAAGCCATGAAATATTGTCATTTCATAATGACAAGAAGTAAAATGTCAACCAAATTGTGGCTGACAACTATGCACAGAAAGTAGTGTAATTTCTACAATTAACTAGGTATAAGACATGTGTGTAGGATGCACTTATTCCTATTTTATGTAAAATTTACCATCTTGCTGCAAAATAAACACTGTTGATAAGCATTTATTGTTCTAATTTCATATTTCTTTTACTTAAATGTAAACTTCAATTTTGTAGTTAGTATAATACAGGGCACAAAAAACGGAGTATTGACTAAGTTTTTGTTTTTTCATTTTCGGTTATTATTGAGTCATCCTGACTTTATAAGCTAGAAAGCAGGAGACTATCGAGAAAAATAATTTAGGCCTTTGCCCAGGGCTCCATTAAATAAAGGCAGATATTAGGACACGAATGTAGGGGTCTAGGGAAAACTAGAGAAAAGTTTACTTATTGAGGTTCAGGCATGAGCACAGATTGGAGGCAGTCCCAACCACTCCAGCCCTTTGACGTAGCTCACACTGCCCCGTCCTCATGGCAAAGGACTCCCCTCAGTTCTCCTCTTCCTCCTCTGCTTCGAGGAGCTGAGATAGTGACGAAAAGGAAAAACCAACAATGAGGTTCTACCAGGTGTGGTTTTTCATATGTTGCAGATGGTAGGAATTGACTTCCTCTGCAAAATATCCCCCAAAGTGCTGAGCTGTGATGCTGCTTGGGCTTTCAACCTGAACCACATTTGAGTGAAAAAAATCACCCACATCTTCTTTTTAAGACCCTAAGAACTTTTTTCATCCTGAAAAGCAAACTTTCAGATACTTCACAAGCTCAGACATTAAGGAAAGATATTCATAGGTATCTGTAATTGGTCTGGGAGTTAACTGACATAACACGTTTCACTGTAACCAACGGAACACTTCATCACATTGAAAAAAAGTCTTTTGAAATCATGTTGTATGAGGCCTGCCAAAAAACTGAGGAAAAATTCCAAAAATGTCTTTGTCTTATAGTCAAAGATATCATATTTTTTTTTCTTTCTTTTTTTTTTTTGCAGTCAGTCATGATAAATCTACTGGTAAAAGAGGCTGTCCTCCATTACCTGCTTCCGCTTAGTATTTGGCTAAAGATACTATGGAAGGAAGAATGTTGCCACCTCAAACTGGTGATCTTTTGAAGCTGTGTCAAAATGCTTTCAAAACAAATGAACTGATTTAGGGGGAAAATGCTCTTTGTGAGTGCTGACGTTGCTCTAGCAATGTGGATATTTGTATGTGTGTGTGAAAAACCACGGGCAAAACAAAAGCAAAACTCACCTATCTGGCAGACACTTTGTATCTAAAACTTTGTTTTGCAATCAATGATAAACTCTCAGTCAAGATCATGCACTATGTGAAAATTTTCCTTTTTCTTTGGATGATTTCGATATCTACTAATTTGCTGTTGTTTCTTTCTGAAATTTATTCCATTGTTTAAGAAATATTAGGGTATTTATAAGCCAAAGGGTTCAACTATCATATTTGAAAAGAACACCAGGGGAGATGGCAGCTGTTTTTAACTTTCAAAATGATCATTTTCAATGGAGTTTGGTGCATTTTAACTTTTAAACATATTGAACCGAAAACCTCAAGGAATACACACCAGCTTCAATGTTCATTATGACAGATTATAAACTTTTACAACTAAATCCAACATTAGATTCAGTGAACAAATGCTTTAAAAAGCCTTTTCATGTTCTTGACTTATTAAAACTCTCAAGGTCAAGTTTCCTGATAATAATTTCAAGGAAAAACACACCACACTGTATCCACTTTACCAACAGGGTGACTTCAGGCAATATTTTTATGAGGTGGCAGAAAATTCCATTTGAGAGTTAGGAATTCTGTTTTCTAATAGTCAGCCTTCATTAGGAGAGCTTACAAAAAGCTCTTAGTACTTACATTTGATTCAATTCGAAAATGTAACTCACAGAAAAATCACTAGGAGAATTGGGACTAAGGTAGTGAAATATCTTCACATTCACGCTAAACAAATCAGCAGTTCTTCTTAAAAGCATTATTGCATTTTCATCAACCTCCAGGGGCTGTGTCTTTTCCTCTGAAAATGAAAGCGAAGCAGCCCATGGCCCTGCCGAAGAGCCTGGCTTTATTGGACTCTGATGCCTGCAGTGCCCAGAGCAGGAAACACGTGACAAGGTGGCCAGCTCATGTGTGTCTGTGGTACAAGGCCACAGTGCAAAGCACGTGACCTTTAAGACCCAAATCAACATTCTTCTTTAATATTACCACTGCTAGATTTGTCTTTAATCACAATTCTTCACTGATTTTGGAATTTTAATTACCCCTAAAGGAGGCTATGAGTTTACCAGAAGTGGAGCTTGGACTTACAGAGCTTGAGTTTCATAGAGAGACAGTGGGAATGTCCAGGTCAAAGCACCATAGCCCAGACTGTGAATTTTGAAAGACAAAAATACCACTCACCTGGTACTTTAATGTACTGTAGTGATGTTTGGAATGAAGATCTTCTAAAGCACTTTCATACTTGTCTGCAAGGCTAGGATAGTGAACTGGGTCCTGAAAAGCAGAACCATTGCAGATATTTTAAATGGTTTGAATGCGCCAGAACTATTTTGGAGGGGAGGCTAGCATGAGTCTTAGCAAGCATCTCTACTCTGAAGTCTCACATGTATTAAGCACTCGTCCTATTCAGAACCCCAGAAATACAAGCAGCTCCCTGACTCAAGGACATATACTCTGAAAGGCGCATACATACTTCCTTATATTATGAAAAGCCAGATGAATACGGTCGGTAACTGGTTTCCACCAGTTGTATGTTTCTTATGATTCTCTCATATGCTCTCCTAAATGATATGAGGACTTACAAACTGATCCAAAAGTACGATAGAAGCTAAGCAAATAAAATGGAAAGGAAGAAAATACTTAAGCCAGGAAAACATCAAAGTACACCATTGCAAATAAGTGTAAAGCTGTTCCATGTTGCCTTCCAGCTGTGTAGAAAGGGGGACACAGGCTGCATCCCTGCCGCTGCCCCACAGCGGGAAGGATTCTGGTCCCCAGCAAGAATATTCCTCAGGACTGAGGGAAGTGAGTCATTCGGTTCTTTACACAAGACTGTGGACATTGTACAGCCTAGAGCTGGATGGGGGGAAAGGCTTTCAACAATACACTTGGTGGTTATTTTTCTAATTTACATAATTTTAATAGAAAATAAAACCAGCGAGGTGCCATGGCTCATGCCTGTAATTCCAGCATTTTGGGAGGCCAAGGTAGGAGGATTGCTTGAGTCCAGAAGTTCAAGACCAGTTTGGGCAACATAGTAAGACCCTGTCTTTACAAAAAAATAAAGAAACTAGCTGGGCTTGGTGGTGCATGCCTATGGTCTCAGCTACTTGGGAGGCTGAGGTGGGAGGATTGCTTGAGTCCAGGAAGTTGAGGCTGCACTGCGCTATGATATCACACCACTGTATTCCAACGTGGGTGACAGAGTGAGACCCTGTCTCAAAAAAAATTAAATAAAATCAACAAAAGCTATTATTTTTAAAGAGAGGAGGGGTATAAGACTAGAAGGCAAAAGTTTTAAATTATATCACTTGAGTCACGTAGAAATTATATTCGTTTGCTACTAATTGGAGGAGTCTATAATTGGTTACCTGGTGACAATATGTCACTTATCTATGATTTCAAGTTTTCATTCTTAAAAATGTGATACTACCCTTCTGGTTCCTAGTTGCTGCCACCTACAATGAGAAGATACCCTAAAAAGCAAGGATAAGAGAGGACTGTGTCTCCTATTTAAAGTGACCGTACTAACTACTATACCACAGGAAGACTATTCTTGGCTTCTAGTCTATTTTGGTCAGCTGGTTATAGCATGGGATTTGTGAGGCCAATGAGGCTCAAGTCTCCTTTGGGTCTAATGGATTTATTCAGAGATTGTTTTTTTAGTTGTGCCCTCCACAGTCAACAATCTTGGAGCTTTCATTGTTTGCCCTAAGAGAGATCAGGCAAAAGAATGCATGGACTGTCACTGCTATTATTATGACTAATACTATGGATTTCCTCTGAAGCACTAGGGACCATGTGAAGCCATTTTCCCACAATGACACATTTCACAATCATCTTGTGCAGTGGCTGCCATCATCACCTGACAGGCTAGGGAAATGAAACTGAGTCTGGAAAAGAACACTAAACACATGAAGTCAACCTCAATGTGAAGGTAATATCTCAAGAGGAAGAAATGCCCTATGGAGGGAAAACATTCAAATCATTAGCAAGTTTTCTGAACATAATCTAGGAAAACTAGCGGTCAGAAACAAAATCATTGAGTGGTGTTAAATACAAGCTTGCCCAACTCTTGGCTCTACTTGCAATTCTTCCCTAAACTCATCTCCACCCACAGACAGGCTGAGGGATGCTCAGCAAGTGCATGTGTTTCTAAAGTGGATTGTCTGTTTTTTTCTACAGCTATTTGGTAGGGAGTCATTGCCCCTACTTTGGATGTCGTCATAGCTCCCAGTACCGAGGAAGTTAATGTGTAACCAGCTCTGCTTACCATCTTTTTCAAAATCTGTGACACTTCCAGGTAGAACTTGAAGAGGAAGCTGATGATGAGAGTCCTCTTGAACTCCACTTTTCCACCTGGCGCCGAGCCCGAAAGGGAGACTTCCTCCAGAACAAGCCTGCAAGCTGTATCCAGCATTTCTTCATTCCAGTGCCTGGAAAGTCCAAAGAGAAAACTCCTAGCCTGACACAGTTTATTACCCCGTATCTTCACCTAATAGGTAAGACAAATAGCCACAGTTTAATACAGGAAATAAGAGTACAAGCTCTAGATCAGGCAGCCCGAGTTCAAATTGGCCCACCACTCTCAAGGTATCTAGCCTGGGTCTCACCATGTCCTCACCTGTAAAAAGGGAACATTAGTAGAACCCAACTCACACAATGATCCAGAGAAATAAATGACAACTCATATAAAATCCATAGTCCAGGAGTAACTGACCCTCATATCACTAGGACATTTATTGCATGCCAAGTTCTGCTTTTAGCACCCTATATGTATTCACTCACTTAATCCTCTCAACTGCCCTATGAGGTAGGTGTGATCACACATCTTTGACAGATGGAGAACCAAGCAAATGCCTTCAACAATTTATTATAGAACAAACTCACATAATTGGTTTTTCATCATGGCAAATTATTCTCCCAAAATAAAGAATACAAATTGGCACCGTTGGGAGAGGGCTTTTCTCTCTCTCTCTCTCTCTCTCACACACACACTCACACACACACACGCATACACACAGAGTATATAATTCCCACTTCAGAATTCACTAAAATCAAGACATATGGAAACAATAACAAAAACTTATTGGAATTCCCAGCCATTAAATAGAAAGGTATGGAACACTTTTCTTCTTGTAATCACATCTCACCACAAAAAGGGCTCCTTTAATACTTGGAGTCTAAGGACAAGTATTAGAGGAGCCCTTACCTCTAATGCCTTACCTTCCAATGAGTTTCTGGCAGGAATTCTTGGCACAGATGGTGGCTGGACCAACGCCTCCATATGAGATGGATAACTCTCTAATAATGCCATGCCCTTCTCCAAAAAAGACTCTCATTCCTGAATTGACTATCGCTAGTGCATTCTCCTGTCGCTGGGCTTGTCGGAAGGCTGACACAAATTCCAACTGAAAGAAACAGTTAAGTGGCACATGTAGAAACACTGAGCACCACCTACGCACCAGGCAGGCTGTATGTGTTGAGTGTCACCTACGCACCAGGCAGTCTGTGTATGTTGCGCGTCGCCTGTGCGCTGGACAGTATGTGTGTGTTGAGTGTCACATTGATATCAGATGTGTAGCCCCCAGTATCTCCAAAAAATCAATCTCTGCTGTTGAGGTCACGCAGTGTGTAGTTCTTTGTTATGGTAGCCCTAGCAAATAACACATCCTCTGAGGCAGGCTTGAGTATACTCATTTTATAGATGAGGAATCCAAGGCACAGAAGGATTCAGTAATTAGTTCAGGTCTTGAAACCAGGATTCAAACCTGATTCTATCTCATGCAAAGACTCATGTTTTTTCCACTAAGTTCTATTGCAAATGTATTTTTAGGCTTTTTTCAAACCCCAGGATATAGGTAGAGGCATACTCTTCATGTCATATTTAGGGAGAAATGCTTATGGGACAAAAACCTGTTAGAAAGTTACTTTAGAGCTTGGGGTAGGGGGAGAAAGAGCAAGAAAGGCAGAGATGAGGCTGGGAGTGGTGGCTCACACCTGTAATCCCAGCATTTTGGGAGGCTGAGATAGATGGATCACCTGAGGTCAGGAGTTCGAGACCAGCCTGGCCAACATGGTGAAACCCCCGTCTCTACTAAAAATACAAAAATTAGCTGGTGTGCACCTGTAATCCCAGCTACTCAGGAGGCTGACGCAGGAGAATCACTTGAACCTGGGAGGCAGAGGTTGCAGTGAGCCAAGATCATGCTGCTGCACTCTAGCCTGGGCAACAGAGCAAGACTCGATCTAAAAAAAAAAAAAAAAAATCTCCTAATTCGAGGAATGATAGGGGCATGCGTAATACAATGAAAAGGCAACTATTCACAAGTGTTAAAATAATGACCTCATACCACTTCCTGAAGTTGAGCCTTTATCTCCCCCATAAACACTTAACCCTTTTTCTTATTTCACCATATGCTGGAATAAACAAACCATAGCATCACAGGTGGAACTGGGAAACTGACAGTGGGATGTTCTCACCTTCCTTGAGTAGGGGATGTTCACTGAGACCAAGATTTCTTGAGGCTTAAGATCTGCGTTAGGGCACTTGCTGAGGAACTGCTCGTTTAAAGGAATCTGTCGTTCTCCTTCTGTGGAAAGAAAGGACACTTTCCCTGGAATCTGTTTGGTCTATTAAATAAACTTCCAAAACTTGGGAAGTAATTCCACCAAATACCTGAGGAAACTGGTTGTTTAGGGAAACATGTGCTCTTCCTATGCTTAGCAGGTCTTTTACCCTATAATGCATCTTGCAGTGCTTCTTCTAGTCTAGGCCCCATCTCTTTTTGTTTTCCTTGCTTTCTCATCGATAAAAACATTGACTGGGCACGGTGGTTCACACCTGTAATCCTAGCATTTTGGGAGGCTGAGGCAGGTGGATCATTTGAGGTCAGGAGTTTGAGACCAGCCTGGCCAACATGGTGAAACCCCTTCTCTATTAAAAATACAAACAAATTAGCTGGGCGTGGTTGTGCACCCCTGTAGTCCCAGCTACTCAGGAAGCTGAAGCAGGAAAATCACTTGAACCTGGGAGGAAGAGGTTGCAGTGAGCTGAGATCATGCCACTGTACTCCAGCCTGGATGACAAAGTGAGACTCTGTCTAAAAAAAATGTTTTTAAATAAAAAATAAATTTAAAAAATAGATTAAAAGATCTCACAGAGTAGCCCAGAGTTTCAGGTAGAATAGAACCTTAGCAGTCCTCTTCCTGACAACACAATTCACTTAAAGCTTTACAAGTAGGGAGTAAATATTCATATCTCTTTTGATATTCTGATCAAGTCAGTCAACAAATATTTAATGTTTATAACCAGGAACCCCACTAGGTACAGTCATGAATAAGAAATTATCTTTAATAAATTTGTATACTAGTGAGGTGTTATCTTACTTTTTTATATCTCATTCCAACACCTGAAGAATTTTAGTTCTTTAATCAATATATTAGGAAGAGTTTAAAACTATAACAAAATAATGAAAGCTAAGAAGCTTTTGATGTCTATATTCACATCACAAAACCTGTTTCTCATAGTATGACTTTTTAAGGGGATATTACTTAAATTGAAAACCCTGAATGTAAATCTTCCTCTTTAAGATAGTTTTGCGACCAAGCACAGTGGCTCATGCCTGTAATCCCAACACTTTGGGAGGCAGAGGTGGGTGGATCACCCGAGGTCAGTTCAAGACCAGCCTAGCCAACACAGTGAAACCACGTCTCTATTAAAAACACAAAAATTAGTTGGGCATGGTGGTGCGTGCCTGCAGTCCCAGCTACTCAGGAGGCTGAGGCAGGAGAATCGCTTGAACCCAAGAGGTGGAGGTTGCAGTGAGCCAAGATCGTGCCACTGCACTTCAGACTGGGTGACAGAGCGAGACTCCATTTCAAAAAAAAAAAAAAAAAAAGAAAAAAAAAAGGATAGCTTTGTGGTTTAAATGATATGAAGAGTAAGTATTTAACAATGCAGATGATAGAAAACCAGTCCATATTTTTTAATGAAACAAAAACCCCACAAATTTATGGAGGACCAATTAGAACTTCCTAATAATTTTCAAGCAAGTTGGAAGAAGCAATAAATTAGATGTTGTGGACTTAGTTTCAAGAACAAAAATCAAGTAAATAAATATAGAATGAGGTCCAATCATTGTTCACCTGAAAAAGACCTGTATGTTTCCATCAATGATAAATTAAGTATGAGCTCAAAGCACAATGTGGGTGCCACAACACTTCTGTGCCACCTGGAGAATGTCTTCAACAGAGGGACCCAATAGTTCTCAATAGCATGTAGTTCTCAGCAATAGTCAGATTACATCCGGACATTAACCAACACAAACATGTCCAGTGTAGGGTGACCAGTATGAGAAAAAAGCCCCAGAAAGACACAAGGGAAGAAAGCCTATGCTATTAAGACAAGACTCACAACATTTCCAGTATCCAGAAAAGCAGAGAAAATTATTGATATTATAGGGAAAAGTCATTTTCAAGACTGGACTTCCTGCCTCCCCAGAGAGAAAAAGGGGTAGAGAAACAGCTTAATAATCTCCAAGTCGGGGCTGTCACTTACCTTTTGATAGCAAGTTGAGGGTACAGTTACCCACAGCCAGGATGGGATTCAGATCTGAATCTGGATGCCTGCTAATGATGTGTCCCCCTAAAGACTTTTTTAAATAATGAGTTATTTTCATTTCAGTTATATAATCATAAAAACGCAAGTGCTAAAATAAGGATTAAGTACGGCTTTGGAGAATGAATTTTTTTTTTTTTTTGTCTGTTCCAAAAGAATGAAAATGTCATGATTCATCAGGGAGAGTCACCAAGGGATGCCTACCAGAGTTTACTGTCATCAGATACATACAGCCATGTTTCTGATCTGGGACCCAGCCAGAGTTCCCAAATGCTTCAGGAGAGCATGGTACGTCTGTGTCTTCTCCTCTGGAAGCTTCTGGACTACATCAGCCAAAATGTCCTTCACCTGGGCTAGGCTGAGACCAGCACCAAGGGTGAGTCCTGAAATGAAGTCATTTGTAAATAACACAGTGTGATTGCTGCTGACCTGAACATGTCCATTAGACCAAAGCTACAGACATAGAATCTTTATACTGGATACATGCTGCCCTGCTTATTGGTGATAGTGGTGATGGGTAGTGATGGTGTTGAAGGTAATGGTGGTAATGCAGGTGGTGGTGAGGCGGTGGTGGTAGGGATAGCAGTAAGGGGGTGGTGTGGTGATGGTGATGAAGGTAGGGGTAATGGTAGAGGTGGTGCTAGTGATGTAAGTGGTGGTGATGGAGGTAATGAAGGCTGAATTCTTTGAACGCTCACTCTATCAAGTATTATGTTGAATGCTTTAGATAATCTCCTTCAATCTGAACATACCTTTGAGATATTAATAGCCCCATTTCACAGATGAAGAAACTGAGAGTTAAGTAACTTGCCTAAGATCTGACAGCTAATATATGCCATTGTCAAGAGTTAGATTTCAGAGGCTGTACTCCAAATCCACATTTCTATTGTTTCTCATCATTGCCATTAAATCTATTTCCTCCACAGGAATAGAAAAACCAGTCTATTTTTTTTAATACATAAACTTGCTACTGTGGTTTTAAAGAGCAAAGACTGTGTTATATCCAGTTTTATCTTCTGTCCAGCACTTAGCACTGTATCCTTCATTGAAATAGTTTTTATATTTCTCTGATACTGCAGACAGAAGTTTTTTGGTAAAAATTGAACTATTCAGACAACTAGTATTTAGATTAACTTTAGAGAATTATTCTCTGAGTCTTCCTCCAGAATGTTATCATTCTTCTTTTAAAAAATGCTTTCTGTCCCCATTTTCTTTTTATTTTATTTTACTTTAAGTTCTGGGATACATGTGCAGAATGTGCAGGTTTGTTACATAGGTATACATGTGCTATGGTGGTTTGCTGCACCTATCAACCTGTCATCTAGGTTTTAAGCCTTGCATGCATTAGGTATTTGTCCTAATGCTCTCCCTTCCCTTGCCCCCCACCCACTAACAGGCCCCGGTATGTGTTGTTCCCCTCCCTGTGTCCGTGTGTTCTCATTGTTCAACTTCCACTTATGAGTAAGAACATGTGGTATTTGGTTTTCTGTTCCTGTGTTGGTTTGCTGAGAATGATGGCTTCCAGCTTCATCCATGTCCCTGCAAAGGACATGATCTCATTCTTTTTTATGGCTGCATAGTATTCCATGGTGTGTATCTGCCACATTTTCTTTATCCAGTCTATCATTGATGTGCATTTGGGTTGGTTCCAAGTCTTTGCTATTGTAAATAGTGCTGCAATAAACATAAGTGTGCATGTGTCTTTATAGTGGAATGATTTATAATCCCTTGGGTATATACTCAGTAATGGGATTGCTGGGTCAAATGTTATTTCTGATTCTAGATCCTTGAGGAATTGCCACACTGTTTTCCACAATGGTTGAACTAACTTATACCCCCACCAACAGTGTAAAAGCATTACTATTTCTCCATAGCCTTGCCAGCATTTATTGTTTCCTGACTTTTTAATAATCACCATTCTGATTGGCATGAGATGGTATCTCACTGTGGTTTTGATTTGCATTTCTCTAATGATCAGTGATGATGAACAGCACATCAAAAAGCTTATCCACCACGATCATGTTGGCTTCATCCCAGGGATGCAAAGCTGGTTCAATATATGCAAATTGATAAATGTAATCCCTCACATAAACAGAACCAGTGATGAAAATCACATGATTATCTCAATAGATGCAGAAAAGGCCTTTGATAAAATTCAACATCTCCTCATGTTAAAAGCTTTCAATAAACTAGGTATTGATGGACCATATCTCAAAATAATAAGAGCTATTTGTGACAAACCTATAGCCAATATCATATTGAATGGGCAAAAGCTGGAAGGATTCCCTTTGAAAACTGGCACAAGATAAGGATGCCCTCTCTCACCACTCCTATTCAACACAGTATTAGAAGTTATGGTCAGTGCAATCAGGCAACAGAAAGAAATAAAGATATTCAAATAGGAAGAGATGGAGTCGAATTGTCTCTGTTTGCAGATGACATGATTATATATTTAGAAAACCCCATCGTCTCAGCCCAAAAACTCCTTAAGCTGATATGCAAATTCAGCAAAGTCTCAGGATACAAAATCAATGTGCAAAAATCACAAGCATTCCTATACACCAACAATAGACAAGTGGAGAGCCAAATCATGAATGAACTCCCATTCACAATTGCTACAAAGATAATAAAATACCTGGGAATACAATTTACAAGGGATGTGAAGGACCTCTTCAGGAAGAACTATCAACCACTGCTTAAAGAAATCAGAGAGGACACAAACAAATGGAGAAACATTCCATGCTCATGGATAGGAAGAATCAATACCATGAATACTACCCAAAGTAATTTATAGATTAATTGCTATCCTCCCAAGCTACCACTGACTTTCTTCACAGAATTAGGGAAAAACTACTTTAAATTTCATATGGAACCAAAAAAAGCCTGTATAGCCAAGACAATCCTATGCAAAAAGAACAAAGCTGGATGCATCACAAGATCTGACTTCAAACTATACTACAAGACTACAGTAACCAAAACAGCATGGTACTGGTACCAAAACAAATATATAGACCAATGGAACAGAACAGAGACCTTAGAAATAAAACCACACATCTACAACCATCTGATCTTTTACAAACCCTTCAAAAACAAGTACTGGGGAAAGAATTCCCTATTTAATAAATGGTGCTGGGAAAACTGGCTAGCCATATGCAGAAAACTGAAACTGGACCCCTTCCTTACACCTTATACAAAAATCAACTCAAGATGATTAACGATTTAAATGTAAAACCCAAAACCATAAATACCCTAAAAGAAAACCTAGGCAATACCATTCAGGACATAGGCATGGGCAAAGAATTCATGACTAAAACACTAAAAGCAATTGCAACAAAAGCCAAAATTGACAAATGGGATCTAATTAAACTAAAGAGTTTATGCATAGCAAAAGAGACTAGGATCAGAGTGAATAGGCAACCTACAGAATGCGAGAAAAATTTTGCAATCTACCCATTGACAAAGGACTGATATCCAGAATCTGCAAGGAACTTAAATAAATTCATAAGGAAAAAACAAACAACCCCATCAAAAAGTGGGCAAAGGATATGAACAGACATTCCTAAAAAGAAGACATCTATGTGGCCAACAAATATATCATTCTTATAAGAAGAGAATCTCTATGTGTATTATAATTAGGAATCATTCTTTTTCTCTTTGCTGGGCAAGGTAAATAAATTGATTAATGCATCTTAACTAAGAAAACAGGGACTTAAGAACTCACCATTATGTGTATGGTTTACAACACCCAGTTCTTCAATTCTATCAGGAGAAATTATAACTGGGTGAAAGACGCCTTTAAATTTCACTTGAGGCCCTAAAGGATAAAAAAAATCATAATAAGACTAGAATAAAGGAATTAACTGCCTTTTAAATTTGAAATTATTATTAAATTAATATCTTTAAATATATAAAAATTATGTATTTTTTTATTCATGTTTATTGCCAAATCACATACAGAGAGAATGGCTGGATAGATTTTCATCAAACTTGGAAGACTCTGGAATTGTCAACCTTGAAACTTGGGCCATATTGCATACTCAAAATTATTTCTGGGAATTTCTAGGGGCTGCTCCTCAAGCTAAGCATACACTGGATGCAACAGGAAGACCCTGTAGCGGTTGTTTAAGTAAAACATATTATACCTATTGAGACACCGTGAGAGAGGAAACAGAGCAATTTCAGATTCGAGGCCCAGATTAGTCCCCAAATGGAAAGACAGGACAGCTGTCACTGGAGCTGCTGCTGCTGGTTTGCTATGGAGCAAGCCCCTTGGGTGCAACTCTTCACACTGCTCCAATAAGAGGCAAGATGAATCTACTTAATAATAGTTAGAAAGTCTCTTGAGCAATGCTCAGGAAGTCTAGCCCAAATGATTAAAAATGCTATTTCAGACTGCTTTTCCTGAGAACACACGTATATGGAGTTACCGGCCCATTCTGGCCCCGTCCCAAGTCCTTTTCCTCAGTTTCCCTATAAGAAATCCCTGGGGTTCTACATACCCACAGAGGTGTTTCCCATGATGACAGGGGCCTGGGGATACTTGAATTTAAATTCCAGCAGTTCCTTCAGGGTCACGGGGGAAAACCACATCATTCTCTCACTGCCAAACACCCTGGTCCTTTGCGGCTGTTTCTCAGCCATTATCTATTGAAAAAGCAACAGGGATTCAAGGTACCCAGTGGTGCCATCTCCACCCGTTTCCACTCAACCATTAGCATTGTAGAAACAGAAGGAGAAAATACATATCTTCTAAAAAATAAAGTACAAAGTGACCTAAAAGTAGAGCTTTACAAGGAATTAGAATTCAGAATAAAAGTACAATGGTTCCTTACTCCTGGGAACTGCTTGGTCTGTCTCCCTTTGGTGCTCTTATGCCTCAAAGAACATCATTTTAATGTTTGCAAATATAATAACATGCTGAATCTTGTTAAATCATTCTATGGAGGAATAAACTTCAGCAAAAGTGAAAGTAGGAAACATGTCTACACCTATTGCGATTTCACGATTTCATAGATACTATCTGCTGCTTCTTACAGTCAACTCAGCTGTCCCCCACGGTGACCCCAGCCCCATTCCTCCTCCTCTTCCTCAGTCAATACTCTTTAGACCTTGAGATAAGGATGACAGAGAGGCCTTACTTATTTGCTAATCAGCTTTTGAGAGAGCCCATAAACAAATATCCTTCCTGATATTTCACCATGAATTCTTCTAGGATGAGCTCAACATTGCTTTACCTACCATTAGCTCAGGAGGAAATATCAGTTCCTGGGTTGGATCCAATGGCAGAAACTCCTCTTCTGCGAAGAGTTTTGGACTTGTCTTA